ACAACCCTCAATCCAACAAAAAGAATAAGGGATCGAGCAAAGTAATTCTCACTGCACATGTACCAAAGTGCTGCAATGCATTGACATACTCATATTTCTTGTCCATAGTTTGATATTCAATCTTTAATTGGCACTCTGACTTTTTTTTTTATGATGATATATATGTACCAGTACCTCTTTTGCCATCTCCGTCCTTCTTCGAGCTTGACCCAGAAAAAAGGTGACTATAGACCTTCCATGTCTGCCTTGATGGATTCTTGTTTGTAGTTTGAATTACTATTGAATATGTCCCATGGTTGGTTTTTTTCTTGAGATAAATATATTATACATGCATATATACATATATATATATTTATATACATATCACAGAAAATAAAAATTAAAGAACTTAAAGATATTTAAAAGGTTATAATTGGAATAATGGTGGGTGCGAAAAGAGTGATGTTATTATTTACCTTTTTATAGTGGGTGGAAATATAATGTGGGTGGGAAGATAAGACAATGGGATAGGCTTAGTACCACTTTTTTCTTTTTTGTTCGGACATTTTGTATGTACATTTTCATATATTTTATAATTAAATACTTTTTCTTGGTTTATTAATTATTGTTTAGAATTTAATTACAATATTTATCAAAAATTAAATAAAAAATATTTTTGCCAAAAAAAAAAGGTTTGCACGACGAAGAAGTAACATGCGTCGCGCAAACTGTTTCTCCATATCAAACCCTACTTTCACTGATTTGGCACACGACCAAGGTTTTGTTGAGCAAATTTTTGGGCAACGTTTTTTACTTTGCACGACGAATGACCTGCGTCACGCAAACTGTTTTTTGCACTAATGTAAGTATTCATCAACCCTGAAATTTACGTAGGACTACAAGTTGGAATAGTGTTTCAATTTCGAAATTTTGAATTCAATCCTGAAATTTGAATTCAAATCATTTCTGAAAATTAGAATGCATTTAGGGATTCTAATAGTTCCGAATTTCAGATCGAAATTTTCCGGCATGGCTTTGAACTTATTCCAATAATTATTATTTTTTCCAATATATTCTTATTTTTTTTATAATGATTTACTCAAATTATGTGTTTTGTAATCAACGTTTATATTTTATTTTTAATTTTGGATTCCATTTGTTCATTGTCACATCCCGGCCCGGGGCGGATCACTTCCCGAGCCCGTTCTACCACCGTAGTACGATATAGTCCGCTTTGGGCCCCGACCACACCATCACGGTTTTGTTTCTGAAAACTCACACGAGAACTTCCCGATGGGTCACCCATCCTGAGAATGCTCTCGCGGGCTATTCGCTTAACTTCAGAGTTCCTACGGAACCCGAAGCTAGTGAGCTCCCAAAAGTCCTCGTGTTAGGTAGGGATGAGAATATACATATAAGGATCGCTTTGGGCTTACCATTCCCTCACGGTTTTGTTTTTGGGAACTCACGAGCAACTTCCCAGTGGGTCACCCATCATGGGATTGCTCTAGCCTCCTTCTCGCTTAACTTCGGAGTTCCTATGAAACCCGAAGCCAGTGAGCTCCCAAAAGGCCTCGTGCTAGGTAGGGATGAGAATATACATATAAGGATCGCGCCCTTAGGCGATGTGGGATGTCACATTCATTGTTTTTATATTAAACATAAAATTATATATTAAAAGGATAGTGCACCAATAAAATTGAATTTATACATAAGCATATATCAAAATATAAAAAGAACAATAATGTATGTACAAAAAGGTGGAGAATATTCAGAAACCTATAAATTATATGAATTTCCAAATTGTGTTCCGAAATTTCTAAGGTACTCAAATTTTGAAAATTTGAAAATTTTTGAATTTGAAAATTTAATATGGAGAAACGTTGTTCTCAATCCGATCCATTCGAAATCACCTCCTATCCATACGATAATAATGTGTATTTTCATCTCGATCAGAGCAAAAGCACATAATATGTCAAAGCACGTATTGAGGACTTCTTTGATATATCTTTTGACCCATTTCGCATTTCCCAACTGTTTCTCTCTTTTCAGTCGGTCTGGGCGACCTAGAACAATATTTTGTCCTTCTTTGGTCGGAATGCGCGAGCATGCCACCATGTGGTTAAAAATGGCCAACGAGGAAAAGACGTGAGCATGATTTGTGTTTGCGCCTTGGATTGGATTCTAATCAAACAATTGGACAGCTGAGCAAGGAACCTCTCTTCTTAGCCTAGGTTGTTTATGTATCGAGTGAGAAAGTAAAAGGAATTGAAAATAAATGTAAAACTAATCTACTAGCAAGAAAGTAAATAAAATGATGAACAAGTGTATAGAAAATAGAGGTGCGCTGTAATTAAATAAAATTGAAGAATACAAAACAGAAAGTAAAGTGCGTAAATAGAGAATTGGAAGATGAGTGCTTGAATAAATTGCAATAAAAAAGATAATTGAAATAACAATAAGTTAATTAAATTGCATAACGTAAAGAAATTGAAAGACAAGTGGTAGAAGTAAATTGCATAAAAGTAATCTAGACTAGGGCCTAGGATAGAAATTGAAGAGAAAATAGAATGATAAGTTGTGTGTTTGGTCAGGTGTCCTTCCCTTCTCTTGAATCTTCATATTTATAGAGCAACATTGGCCCTCGACTGGCCATTTGTTTGGCCCGTGAGTCTTGCTCATTTGAAAAACCCTCCTTCCGCGACCACTCTAATCTCGGGATATGATGTCCGCTAAATCAACTCATTTTGTAGTATTCATTCTTATGGATTGATTGACCTCGATCCTTGCCCTTGTGAACTTCTCCATGTGTTGATCTCCTCCATACCTCTTAAAAAGTTCGTGAACTCTTTTTCTTTGGTGAATCATGGACCTTGATTGCCTTGGATTGGATTTCAATTATTCTCCAGACCTTGGTCCTTGCCAATTATAGAATTTCCACTCGAAGATCTTCTTTAGGCCATCATGACATTCTTCATTTCTTGGCCACGAGCCTTCATAAATATTTAATTTAAAGTCTTGTGGAACCAATCATGTGTCATTATCGAAGTTTTTTCAGATCCGAATGAATTGTGGGAACGACTAAAGCTATGCTTGAGACCTGATATATGTTTAAGAAGAAAAAAATGTAATTTGTTTTTAGAAAGAGATAAGAAATAGGAAAATTTGCTACTTTATCCCCTTTTTGGTATTTGGTTTCACTTTTGATCCCTCTTCCACAAAATTTCTCTTTTGATCAAGTTTTCCTCTGAAAAATCCATACTGCCTTTCATTGATCTTTTTAATAGTCAACATGCCCTTCATTGATCAAAAACCACAAAAAAAATGCGGCAACACCCTACCGACACTCTTAAATCCATTTTCAGATCCATTCCTTTAGTTGCTCCGCCTTGAGTAATCAAGTTTGAAGAGGTGAAGAACATTTGGCACACCGTAAAGTAGTGGGGTAAGCTCTCTCTCTCTCTCTCTCTCCATCCAAGCCAGTGTAAGCATGTCTGTATAAGATTGTTGGATACGAATATATTCCTTTGTTTTTTTTTTGTTTTTGGTTTCGTGTTTGGTATTTAGTGCATATAAATTGTATTATTGATTTAGTTATCTGGATCTTATGGCACATGTAGTATAGAATACCACTTGTGATGTGTGTTTCTAATTCTTGTGATTAATAGAGAATGTGGATCATGTTTGTAGTAATCTCTCTCTCTCTCTCTCTTTCATCTTGCTTTAGCTCATTATTTGATTTTTCGATTTGAAATTTGGTTGTGGTGGTTGTGGAAAGAAGAAGGAAAGGGTTCTTGAATGAATTATTGTGATTGTGGGGTTCCGAAATCATAAAATAAGGTATATCAGTGGAGTATTGTTGGGGCGTCATCACATTGTTGGTGTGGTAGTGTTGGTTTATAATCATAAAAGGAGGAGTATTGTTTTAGTGTCATTGTGGAGTAATTGCACTGTAGTTATGACGTCCTTTTGATGTTGTTATCTGAGTGGAGGTTTAACATCGAAAAGAGGAGTGCCATTGGGTTTCGTTTGGGCGCCAATGCTCTTTTTCTCCATTTCTGACTAATGAAGGGTAGTATGGACTCTTCACATGCAAATTTGATCAAAAGACTAATTTTGTGGGAGAGGGATCAAAAGTGCAACCAAAACCCAACAAGTGATCAAAGTAGCTAAGTTTCCTAAGAAATATGTCTTGGTTAGTTAGTCGGAAGACGGTTTTAAATTATTTCTTACAATTAGTTATTTAAGGTATTAAAAGGTTAGGGACCTTTCAAAGAATAATATTTTAAATGCAAGGGAGTTTATACAAGCGTTGTCAAATTACTTAGTAAGTCGTAATATATGTTTGGAGGACTTAACATTAGTAACAACGACTCTCCAACAAAATTAATTTCCATACATGGTTATGAGTTTTGTAATGGCCATATATTATGATTAGTCAACCTAGTTGTACTAATAATTCGTTGTTTTCTCAAAGACAATTACCGATCAACCACAAGCGCCGTAGTAGGGCGTAAAATTATGTCAAGGAAAAAACCTCTAACACTTGCCTTGACCAATTTCAAGTTTTTCTAATTCATTATGTCATCTTCATTTAACATTTGGTTGATCATGTGCATGTTTTAAATTTTAACCTGTATGATAATTATGAATTTTATGGATGATTAATATAGCAATTAGACCCTACTTTTCCAACAAATTCATCACAAACTAACACCTATTGAGTGAAACTAAAATACAAGAGATCATATATTTTTATGAGATGCAAAATGACGTATTCCGAATGCTCTGCAAATTGACAAGCACAATAGTGGGACTATCAGTTGCCATATCATCATCTAACAGTCAAATTGACAGTTTGACTAACAGATATATGATTGCAACTAAAATACAAGTTTGTGTATAACATTGTAATGTTTTAAGGATGATGATGCAGTTGCAATTGCACTCAAATTTGAAGGTTCAAAATATAATCTACCCTTAATTTTATTTAGCATACATTTCAACAGTAATTTTCCAATCAGACAAGTTCATGAGGCTCTGTGCCAATGAGGATCTTATTCTTATTACTGACATCTTATTCTTATTAGTTGTTACTGACTACAAGAACGTCCCAGTTCAAATATAAGATGAAAAAGACATATAAGATGAGCCTCGGTTAATATGCGATATCAATGGCCTCAAAACCCTTGGCAATTGATGCCTTGACAGCGTCGATTACGATCTGTGTCTTCCGACTTAGGGTTGGCCATTTCTTCTCAGGTTTTGCACCATTTTTAATAGCGCCTACCAGACGAGAAAACTCTCTTACCATGAGGGCTTCCTGTGGAAGATCCGTGGTAACAATGTGATGACTTGGTGGCGGAACCCAACTTATGGCCAATTCATCAAACCAACTTTCTGAAGCTGCAGAAAAAGCGGCTTCTTTCTCTTGATGAGGGATAACAAAACCATCGACATGCAGAGTTCCCTTTGTACCGATAGCAGTTATATCCATCGTCAAACTTGATAAGAAGGAGCAGTGGAAGGTTGCCACTTTCCCATCTTCCCAATGCAGAGAAGCCCCACAAGATAAAATCACTCCTGCTTCATTAAGTACAGGGCCACGCAAAGCAACAACAGTTTTTGGCAGTTCATAGTTATTGGCCCACAAAATTGCCCTGATACAGTACCACCCTGCATCCCCGAGAGCCCCATGAGCATCAAGGTCTGGCTTCACCCGGATATCTGTCTTGAGAAATTCAGGATCAAAAGCCAAAGTAAACACAGTATGTATCTGTGGAACCAAAAGGAGGATGTTCTTAGAACAATAGCAAGTGAATTTCAAAATATCCGTCAACTGCAATTTGAATGAAACTGGACACAAAGCACGCTACTGTACACCCAAATGTCATTAGTTACATTTTTTTTAATATTACAATAACCTAATATAGTGCAAGGCTTCCATCCCCAAGCACGTCATGTCAGTAGAGTCAATAATTTTAACAGTATTATATGGAACTAGAACAACATGTTTTCTGTGAGAAATTGGGACATCTTGGCAATCCAGGAGCAGAAGGGCATACCGTTCTGAGCTGACCAAAACGGTTAGCATCAGAGAGAAATTCGGACATCTTGGCAGTCCTGGGGTGGTGCATCCACATGGTACCGTCCATGATCTGCACCCCATTGGATTCGCATGCCTCGGTGATCTTGTCAAACTCCGCCACGTTGAGCGCCACAGGCTTCTCCAGCAGGATGTGCTTCTTCTTCTGGGCGGCGAGGACGGCCCACTTGATGTGGAGGCTGGTGGGAAGCGGGACATAGACGGCATCGACATCGGGATCGTCTAAAACGGCGTCGTAGGAGCCGTAGATCTTGGCGTTAGGAGGGAAGTTGTTGGCCTTGGCGAACGCCGTGGCCTTGTCTATAGAACGGCTTCCGACGGCGTATAGTGTCGCGTTTGGGGCAAGAGTGATGGCTCGCGAGACTTTCCGGGCTATATCGGCACAACCCACAACTCCGAATCGGATTGGCGTTTCGGAAGACATCTCGAGGGAGGCAAGCAACGGCACTGTGGGTGTTAGTGTCACTGTGACTGAGTGTGGTGATATTTTGCTGGTCGTGTTTGTTTCCCACTGAATACTACAGAAACTTTATGTTATATAAGATTTAATTAAATGTGATTTTCAATTATAGTATAAAATCCTTACTGAAATAGAAATTAATATAATCATATATATTGTAACATTTTACACACGTTATTACATGGAATTATATATATATATATATAGAGTGAAACGATAGTATTAGTAAGTTAAATGTTAGATTAGCCACCGACGGGATTCAAACTCACACCGTTATGCAAAGGCAAAACACATTTTTGGTAAAGGACCACTTACACATGGAATTATATTTATAAATGGTAGATGTGGGAATTTATCAACCCTTAAGCATATATATAATCATTTATAAGATTTAATTACAGTATAAAATCTCTACTAAAATGGAAATCAATATAATTAGGCACATTGTTATGTTCTGCACACGTTATTTCATAGAATTATATTTATAAATGGAACAATGTGGGAATTTATCAAATATAACCCTTAATCATATATAAGATTTAATTAATTTGGAATGTTACCTGTAGTTATCCTATGTGTTACGTAAATGTGGTTTTCAACTATAGCATAAAAGCGTTACTGAAATGGAAATTAATGTAATTATATATATTGTAATATTTTACACACGTTAGTACATGGAATTATATTTATAAATGGTACGATGTGGGAATTTATCAAACATAACCCTTAATCATATATAAGATTCAATTAATTTGAAAAGTTGCCTGTAATTGTCGCATGTATTATATAAATTGTGATCTCCAATTATAGTATAAAATCCTTACTGAAATAGAAATTAATGTAATCATATATATATATATATATATATATTGTAATATTTTACCCACGTTCTTGCATATATAATTTATCAAATATAACCTTTAAATTCAATACTATTCATTTTTATAAAAAATTTCAAAATATATGCAATTCTCCTTAAATAAAATAAAAATTAAATTTAAAATTTAAAACGTCAAGGGATCCAGCTTATTTAAGGGATTATTTGTAGGACCCACTTCACGTCATAGCCAACTGTTCATTTTTTAGACATTCCTTCAAAGATCATCTCTACAAATAATCATTCAAATCCGAAACCATTTCACGATTGGATTAAATGGTAGTCGTAATAGTGTATATGAATCATCTAAACTACCTATTAGCAAAACATTCTTTGTCAACTAAAAGAGAAGAATTTTTATCAATAATAACTAAATGAAAGGACAATTTGGTTTTCTATCACAAATTAAAATCATGGGCAATAGCGGTAACTTTGCATAAACCAAATTGTGGTGTTCTTTTTTCTTAGCTCACTCATATTCATACACAATAGTGTGTGCGCGCTTCATTTAGTATACATTATGCACATATCATACAGAAAGGGGTTCACAAGTGTGGTGTTGGGAAGATCAGAATCCCTACGTGGTAGTGGAGGAGGTATCACTATTCGAGCAAATGGCTGGCGAGCCTTGGATGAGCTTGGCGTGGCCTCAAAGCTCAGGCAAACTGCCCTACCACTTCAAGGGTATGTATGCCTAGTAAACATGTCTATTTAATACGAAATAACTCACTCCTGTCTTGTATGAGGCCCGTGACATAAACCTTAATGATGGCAAGCAGCGAGAAGCATCGTTTGGGTAAGTGAGTAGTGTGCAAGATAACAATGTTAGAGTGTCAATAACAGCTATCGCTAAATAGTATCTAATTCAGTGATGCGAGTCATAAAATATTTTCATCAAACTTGTTCATCAAGTGATATACATGTTAGTACTTTAATTCCATTAGAAATATATAAAGTTTGAAGTCGGTTCAATAAATGAAATATTGTCATGTCATTTGATAGAGGAGCAGAGAGCTTGGCAATTACCCCTTGGATGCCAAGAAATCTCTGTTAAGTTGGACTCGTTAACTTCCTATCCAAGCCAAAGTCGATCGTTTCATTTATTCTCTGTATCATATCATTACAGTTCTGAAAACGGGCTTGTACAAGTTAAGGTGACGAACACAATTGGAAGAATTCCAATTCATGATAACTTGGTCTATTGGTTCGTAACTCTCAGTGCATAGCAGATAAGGTGCATCATGACTACATCAAGAAAATTGTATATGTGAGCAGATCAGTCCAAGGTTTCGAAGGATGCGTGACGGTGGCTGGAGATGCCATGCATGTAATGGGCCTTTCCTCGGTCAGGGAGGCTCCGCTGGCATCAAAGATGCCATTGTTATTTCTAGATGCTTGGCTCCGACGCTGGCCAAAAATTACGATAAAAATCGAGGGGAGTGAGAGAAGCTTTGGAGAAGTATGTGAAAGAAAGATGAGATTGGTATGCTGTCTACACAAACTGATCTAGTTGGTGTGCTGCAACAAAATTCAAGGTTGATGCTCAATTTGTGTGTTTAATCTTGATGGCTACTCTTTTTAGAGATCTAACTTGCGACACTCGATATGATTGTAGACGCTTTTAAAGACTTCTTTGGGACATTTTTATCCAAGAGTATACTATTTTATTTATTTTTTGTGACCAATGATAGAATAATCTACACTATATGAAGGGAAGAGGATTTAAACGCATGACGCAATGAGTTGAGAAAGAAAATCTTATTCACCAAGATAATCCAACACTTCATACAAGAATATACTATTAGTACAGTATTTCGTTGCATAGGTTAGGCCAGTTGGTTAAGTAGCGTTTTACCCGATCCCCTAAACCAAATTTGAATCCCTTCCCCAAAACTGAGCATGATGTGTAATGCATCATCACAATGATTATGCATCTCCGCGGTCTATGATCTAACACAAAATATCAGATTTATTCAAATACAATTATTGACCACAACCTTTAAATACAAAATTATTTCCCAACCATAAATTAAAAGACAAACGACCGCCCTGCAAGCAAATTTGTAAATGTTCTTATTCCTTGTTCGCCGGGCATCGAGTCATACACCCTCAATACTTCCAAGTAACTGTAAATAACAAAACAACTGAGGAGAAACAAGTGACGAAACAGATGATGAAGCGATCCATGAAGCTTTAGTAGACGAAACGACTCAAGCAAAGTACACAACTGTTTGGAGCAAAGGATTGCCAAAAGTGAAGCAACAAATTTTAGCTGAGGGAACGTAGATTTAAATGTTTGTGATACAGACAAAATTTTGCTATTCTAACTAATTTACTGACTAGACTAAAACACAAGCTTTGTGTAGGCTGCACGAATACAAACTATACTATAGTACTCCTGCACTGCAGAACCTCTGAATCGACTCCTTACGTGAACATACTGCTTACAAACAATCAAAATTGATTGAATCAATACCACGCCTTTTGTTGCTCTAGCAAGCAAGTTGGTACCTGCACATGTAACAACTTGCTGCATCGAAACTGCCATTTATGACTCTGCTACAATGGCTGAATCTGATCTCGCCGAAGCATCTGTTGGAGCTTTATTACTTCTTGTTGCTGTTCCGGAGACAATGAACTCAGTTTTTCCGGTGTTAGGCTCAAAACTTGTTGTAGTAGAGCAGACTCCACCCCAGGGGGAAGCTCAGACTGAGAAAGATTAATCATGATGTCAGATACTCCAGATCAAATGGCAAATTGGAGCAGTATCTCTTATCCGGTTGTTTTTCGAGAAGAATAAAGTTTATTATAATAAACTTCAATCATATAAACAGTGAAAAAAATTAACTGCATACTATAGTAAATTGCATCAAGATTCTGGAGCAACAATCTCACAAAATGCTTCAAAACTAAAACAGGAACTGAAAATACATGCGTTCACATATGACCGAAGCACAAACTCTAGGCACGTGTTAGATACTGTTAATATGTGCTAGCATTCTAAATTTTCTTTTGGAACAACTTGTCAAAAAGCTACAATTTCAGAAAAGCACAAAAATGTGAATTTCTGAACTCTCTAGACGGCCTTTCAATCCTCACCTCCACCTCTTTGTACTAATTCAAGAAATACCATCACTCCCTATTAATTGCTGGCCCCTGTTACACCAAGCAAATCTCCATACCCCGAACTTATTCTTAGCACCTGCATTATCAATGTCGGAAGAGCCTGTTACTACATTCACAAAACCCACCTTCCTATTCTATCCATCTGCATATTCCAAGGAACATCCAAGGTCTATCATATGGACTGATCCTAGGCACCAAAACGAAACTTATCCATTATTCTGCTCCATTCTACAATGGTATATGGCTCATTGAAACACCCAAATTAATATGCTTAGGAATTCTAAAGCGCAGAATTGATGACACCTAAGACGTTGATCATGTAACATAAATAGGGTCAAAGACAACTCAAGTAGGAATCCAAAACAATAGACCTCGAGTACAAGTGTAAATTACATTAATTCCAGGTAACAAACAAGCACTCAATCATGTAGTGCCTGGTACTTGGATGAGCTTATTTATCATACTAAAAAATTGGCTCTTGCATCATTAAATCACTTCTAAACTCCTTTTAAGTCTTTACGTTATATAAGCTAGTTCATCAAGAACCCACAAGTAAAATCCTTTGAGATGTTGATTAATCACTACAGATGATTTAAACCAATAGTTCAGTATCCAAATGACTTTCTTTTCCGAACCTCTATCCACTAGTTAAGAGAAAATTAGCCCCTTTATCAGAGAGAATTTTGCAATGCTTAAGCTACAAAAATATGGGGAATGTCACAAAACTTTTCCCAATTGGCTGAGAATATAAAGTCCCACATTGTTTTCTGTCTATCTAACATTTCAATTCATAAAAATCATATGCCTTTGCACTTGGTTTTTCTATTAGATGCTGTAGAAGCAACATGATATCAGAACAAGCAGCTCGTCAGGTTTCAAGCCTACTTTTGTAAAACTTGCTCCACTTCAAATATAAGGGAGAATATAAATTCATGTGAGCGGACATGTGAGGGGATGCATTAAGTATATCAATTCTCACATCAGGTATTCTGAGGCTTATATTTCAATGTATAAGATTTTAGGAATCCACCTATTGCCAATTGGTTAATACTTTTCAGTTGGAGGCACAGGCCCCAACATAATCTTAATAAAAATTTGTGCCAGCAATTCATGATACCAAAAAAATCAGTGTCACTGAGCAGCAAGACAACTTTTCTTTTCACACAAAATTTTCTCGTTTCAAGACCGAACTAGCTGCGAAAATGTGAACAATAAACTGGAATAAAGTAATCACCTGGGAAGACATTACCTGAGAAATCTGTTTCTCAGAGTGCTGTACTTCTTCTGACTTATGAACAGGTTTCGCAGGCAAAGCATGGGGCAATACAGACCCATTGGCATTAGGCACATTAAGACCCACTCTTGACAAAGAGCTACCCCTTCCATCATCCAATTTCATTAGCTTTGAAGAACGCTTGACTGATTCTACAGAATCGTTAACCATTTGAAAGGATCTATCAGCGTCCTTGTTGATTCCCGAAGACATTGAAGAACCAGGCTGTAACAAATAAAGCAAAGTTAGATAACACAAACAATGACAAAAACTAAAAAGCTAACTAAAAGCACAAATAACAAAACGATGGAGGTCAGATAATTTTTTCGCACCCTAGTCCTCTGAATTTTGTAAACACAACCTTCATCCAGAAATTTTATAAAAGTCAACTAAAATACAACACAACAAGCATAATGCATTATGTAAGTTTCTGTTCAGCTTAACTAATTATTCTATCCGCCTATGCAACCAATCCTCTTTTTCAATCAAACGTAACATCAAAATCAAAATTATCACAAGTACTATAAAATATGGCACCTGGGAGCTGACTTCAGACAGAGGACGAGGTAAAGAAGAATGCTGTACAGTAGCAATTGGATTAACCATCTGCATGTTATGCCCAAAATTTGCACGTCCAACCTGACCCGGGTGCTGTAGTAAAGAAGGCTGCATTTTCTGGTTTGAACTAGAAGAATTTGTAAGCTGAGTTTGGGGTCGAATGGACAAACCACTTGAAGACTGAGGGTGTATGGGAGGAAGTGTTGGAACTCCCGATTGCCCCAGCAATGAGGCCTGTTGCAAAACATGGTGGTTTGCATGTTGTGGAAGCTGCATTCGAGGCTGCGTGGGTTGCTGTTGGGGTGCAGAAAACTGGCTTCTAACCAATGGATTTTGAGGTACAGCAGAAAATTGGCCTTCTTGCACATTGGGCACCAACCCAGACTGCAAGGCCTCGTTGAATGGAGGCTGTGAGGTATGACCTGAAGCTTGCCTGATATTTGGCATCTGCAACTGAAAAAGGAAAGTCAATGTCTTACCATTAATAAGTTAATTAAGCACAAGTACTTAACAATATTGATATGACAAAAGTTCCAGGTGGAGAAACGAACCATCTGTGGGCTCACCATTCCAAGCATTATTTGTGCCTGAAAACAAAGTTAAGATATCAACACTATAACAATTTAGCAAAATAAACAGCACAAAAGCACAAGTGTAAAAGGTTATGGAGTATGTTGGCCCTTCAATTTCCAGTGTGGAATCATCTAGATCATTAGCTGGTAACCAAAAGCATGACAGGGACACAAGAATGCTTCTACTTCAAGACATAGATACTCAATGCATTGAGATGAGTGTTTCAGATTTAAAACTCAATGCAGATGAATGTGGATGTTATATGCTCATAACTGCAATGTAAACAGCTTTTACTCCATGCTTCCTAACTAAAAGAACGCAAAGCCTACACATGGTGGTCATTCCAATATGCTTCATTCAGTTAAGAGAGTCCCAATTTGACACAACAATTTGTCTACAACTAATTATTCAAAAAACTTCACCTTATTCAAGAAAAATTGAAGTCAAAGAGGGTAAAAAGAGCATGTAGACAAAAAGAGGGAAAACAAAATTCTGTAGAAAGCATGTCTGAAAGACCTCGCTGGACAAGGAAACCAGAAATATACAGCTCAATCAAATCTACTCTTCCAGGAAGTTTATGGTCAGACATCAGGAAAACCTCTCAAACAAAATTACATATTTACAAAAGAATATGCATGAAAGCTTTAACAAAAGGGTAGTATCAAAAAGGAAATTTACTGGTTGAAATCTGTACCACATAAACTCTAATACAAATAGTCAATATTCACCTGGAAGAGGGCTTTTGGCAACTGCGGCCTTGCAAGCAATAGTTGACGAGCTAGTTCTTTGTTTTGTATAGCCATTACCTATAATTAGAAAAAGTATGAGAAACATACCAAGATGGATCCAAAATAAAGAAATAAGCTTCTTCAATTTCTAACCCTGAGTTCCGCCATAATTTGATTCAACTGACCCCTAGACATTTTGGCCAGATGAAGTGTCAAGGGATCATTTGGTGGTGCCAATTGATTCTGCAAGCCACTTTGAGCTGACTGCAAACCAGCCTGAGCACCACCTAGAGCTCCTGCCATGACCGTAGCAGCAGTAATAGCAATATGGAGACCAATTGGCTGATGTTGAAGAGATTCTGCATGAACAGATGGTCCCCCTACTTGCTTATGGGGGTCTATGATGGAACCAAAAGAAAAAGATAGCACAATTCAGACCTCTCTTAAGTCAAATAATAACTCAGTAAACAAGAACAAGAAAAAAGAGAAGAAAACTAACCAACATTAGCAGTCAGTCCTGGTCCACCACGACCCTGCAAATGGAGAAAAATTACCTTAAGCTTACAATAAAACCAACATTTATATGCACTAGCACATACGCAATCCTGGCATAACCCCCTATTCAACTATCACTACCAAGATGATTTATTTCACTCGTTTGGTTTATTGGCCACATTTCCAAGGAAACAGTACTATGACTGATCTCAAAAGAATAAAGATCATTTAAAAAAGGAGGGATATAGAGTGCAAACAATCTTGAAACAGATTAACCGACTAAAATATGTCTGACAAACCAAAGAAAACAGCCAAAATATAAGTGTAGTCCAGCCCTTTTAGATACTGTTAATTCCAAACCAATGGTCAAGCAAACAAAATGTTGGACAATCCAGGTCAGACTCGTCATCCAAGAATTTAGAACCTATAAAATATCCTTCTAGCTTGGTAAAGCCACTTCTAATAATAGAGTGGGGACAGTAAAAGAAAAAAGACTACAGTGATGCTAATTACATAACTTCAAGAAATTTAGAAAAGCAAAGAAAATGGCATAACACTGCAGCTAAAAGTCTCCTATTCACCTGTTCTCGACTTCTGTCAGTGCCTTTGTCATTTTCAGCAAAATCAACTCGTAATTGCCGGCCATTGATTTCATAACCCTGAAGATTGCGACGAGCACTTAGAGCAGTCTCTTCATCCTTGTATTCGCAAAACCCATAACCTTTTGGTTTCCCGGTCTCTCTATCAATGACTAGTCTGAAAAAAAAAAAAAAAAAAATGGAAAAGGGATGCATAGAAAAATCTATTAAAAATATTCAGCTACTTCCAGAACGCCTTAAGTTTGGCTACTTGCTATGCAGTACACTTACTTCATAACCTTAAAAATATTGTAACATCAGCTACACGAAAATAGCTAGCTAATAGAACTTCGCCTATAAATGCACTTTAAAAACTGTACACATTTATAACGTATTTAACATCCTACAGCATATAGCTTCACTAGCATAAGAAGAACAACCTATTTAACATCCTTTGAAATTCAACCGCATCTAAATTATGCAAGGTAAAGATTATATTTGTTTTTTCTTCTGGACAACGATAAATCGGTCTCTAAGTGAAACGTAACAGCAAAATTAAAATTGAAAAGGACAGGAAGAAGAGGGTTCGTAAAATTTGTAATTAAATTAAACTGTTTTTTCTTCGGAATAATGATAAATCAGTCTCTAAGTACAACATAAAGCAGAATTAGAGTTAAATATTAGGGTTTATGTAAAATCGTAAAGTTTGTGATTGGGAAGGGAGTCAACCGACTGACCTGAAAGATACAACAGGACCAACCTCCTGGCAGATTTCTACAAGCTGTTCCTCAGTGGCATCGTAAGGTATATTCCCCACTGCATCACAAATAATTCAACCACAAAAAAAAAAAATTAACATCATAAATTACCCATATAAAACTTCAACCCAATTTCTGCAAAACCCTTAAGAAATGGCATTTGGACTCAATTGAACTCGTTGCGATTGATTTCGAATCAAAATCGAAGCTGCAAGAATTCAAAGGGAAACAAAGAGAGGATGAATGAATGAATGAGAGAAAAAGAGAGAGTACCAAAAACGCAGCGGTGCTGAGAAGTGGCCATGAATCTCAAGAGCAGAAGAAGAAGAAGGTGAAGCGCTGCTTCATCTTCTTCCCTCTTAACATCCTTTTCTGTTCTTCGCTTTCGGTGATTAACTCCTCTCGCCGAGACGAATTTGGGAATTGTGAATTCAGGGAATACGAAGTGAAGAAGAAAGGGCTAGCAGCGGCAGGCAATTGCAGACAAGGTCGAGAGAGAGGAATGAGAGAGAGGAGATCGATTTGGTGGAGGAAAACAGAAGAAGCAAGAAACGGCTGTTTATGAATGTGTACTGTCAATTGGATTTTTTGTCTTATTTAAGAGCCTGCTGTTAAAAGTTGAGAATAATATCAGTGATATTTACACGTACGATATATTAAATCTAAAATGTTTGTAGTGTTTAAATTTTTAAATTACGAGTTCGAAATCAAATTATTATGACATGTTCATTAAGTGGTTTAGCCCAAATCTCCTGCTCTTAGTCCAAGTATCATGTTATATAATAGTTGATGCTAATGATTTTGGATATGACATACATAAACAATAAAGAATGAGGATAAATATAAAGGTTTGTTTATCTCATATTCATTCATTCTCGTACACCTTTATACTTATTGTCATACCAAATAAGTACATTTTAACTCTTGCATTTCACGTGTTTACTAAAATACGCATGAAAATTTATTTCTCTTTTTTATTTTCTCAGGTGTTTACTAAGATATTAAATTAGAAAAGTACAAGTTTCCCATTAAATTCATAATCGACTACTTAAAAATAAAGCCAGAATTGATATTAACAATGTTTATAAGTTCTACGAGTCCTTCATTCTTATGTTTTGGTTACGTGAACATTCCTCTGGTTCTTAACTTTTCATATGTTTACTAAATTATGAAATTAAATAAAGTGGGTTGTATTTAGAAATCCACAATCAAATATCTGTGTTTTTGGATTCATAACTTACCTCAATACAGCTAAATATCAGAGTGTGCCACGAATAAGACTACAAGATAGAATATTATTAAACAAACAAAAATGTTGAAACGACTACAAAATTTCAAGAGACTACATTGTGAATGACTTGTTTCTTAAACTAAATTACAAATTATATTTATAAAGAACTAAACCTAAGAAACCATAACTTAGATGGACTAGGTCCAAGTCCTAAACTAACAAGCAAAACTTAAGTACTAAAATAAACCTAAATACTAATATTTTCCAACAATTACTTATATACTAATCTCCTTTCACAGGCCTAAACGTGTGCTAGTTGACTTTTAATTTGCGACGAAAACTAACAAATGAAAGTAACTACCCAATAAGTGGATTTATGCTGAAATTACTATTTTAACCTTAGTTAATCAATTGTAATGTTATGGAGTTCTAGATAAGAAAATGGCAAAATATGGTATTATAAATGATTCACAGACAAAAATAATGGAACACAAATTCCCAAAAACAAAAAAAAATTGAAGTGACAAGAAAAGTAAAAGGGATTTACTATCCACACACTTCATTTTACTTCTCACATACTTTTGATAATTTTTGTCCGTTAATCTTCTTCAATTCATCCAATTCTACGGTCGAAATTTAAAATGGTGTGTGAGAAGTAAAATAAGATGGATGGATATTACATTCCAAGTAGAATTATAATTACTATGGGTAATTTTGTAACTTCGATAAAAACAGAGATAAAACTGTACAACGGCTCCCGCACTTGTCTTCTCCTCCAGGCTCAAGTACCAGTATCAGACGATATATACAAGAGGAGAAGAACAACCGCTCATTTGGGACGAGCAACCACTCTCCGCCATTTTAACGGGTGGAGACTTTCCATCCAAACATTTTCTCCGCCATTTTAACAGTCCAAGGAGTTTTTCCGACGAGGGTACGCTTCACCAGAATTCTAGGGTAATTTTTCTCTGCAAAACTCCTTTCGTCCGTTTGGATAAAATATACAAGTTTCATCTTTCATTCACAAGTGGTTGTAAAATATAACGATTTAGTTGCCTCCATGTCTACTGTTTTTTTGGGAGCAGGCAGCAGATACTTCATTTGTTTTTATTTAAATGCTGACTGACTGCATTCTGGTATAATGTAATGTGTTGGCCTGCATTGAACTTGTTTCGAAACTCTCCTTCCCAAGTCCGGGAGAGGGTATCGGAGTGTGGAAGGTGTCCTTGGCGTTATGCATACCACGTGTTTGAGGAAAATCCTCAAAGAAAAAAAGAAAAACAAAAAACTAGTTAATTAGGAGCTGAAATTTTGGAATTATGTTAGATGTTTAAGCTTGAGTCCGGAGGACATACTCCTCTTGTGAATAAGCTGGAGGGAAAAGAAAGTGGTTGTTCCGCGTTTGGTTCCCGAAGAACCAAGAACACCAAAATTAAAATTATTTGGTAAAACTCAATGCCGACAGTTTGTTTGTTTGTTTTGTTTTGTTTTGTTTTGTTTTGTTTTATAACTACTTGGCTTATGTTATTCATGAATCAATTGCCTTTAATTAAATGAATTATCTTTAATGATACTTTAGTTTCCTACTTCCCGGAAGCAAGCGATGAAAGACTTTTGGTCTAATATGATTGCTAAAATCCTAATCCTTATAGTGTATCAGTTAATTGTTTGGATAATTAAGATTTTAGTATAGATTACGGATTTACCTGGGAAGTGTTACGGAATTGGTGCATTTAGGAGGATGTTGGGGACCCTACAATACTGTGCGGACTGTGCTCGTGTTTATATTTCCTGTATCATATTTTGAGATATGAATTTCTGGCTTTTTTTTTTTTTAGTATTTTCTTTTCGGTTACAATAATAGTGGTTTCTCTGAATTCCATGGATTATGCGAAATTCAATTTAACCGCAGTATGACCTTACATGCAGTAGCAAAATGGCTTGGTTAAAAATGCTAGTGTAACTTGACAGTTATGTAAATTTGTGGTCATTGGTTAGGGACCTTGTTAGTTAGTCAAAGACAGACAGTATCTTACGACTTATAATGCGGACTTAGGGCACCTTGCTAGATTTTGTTAGAATGTGAATTACGATCGGCTTGATCCCATCACAAGGTACGTAAGCATTCTATCCCAAAAGTTAGATGCAGCGGTAGAATAGAATAAACGCTACCCTCTATCATGACTCAGGGTTCGCGGGGTGACAATATGTGCTCTAGACTTAAGAGTTTCTGTGGCAGTTGTTATCAATGGTAATTGGTGGTGAACAAATGATTCGTTGGGGCGAAAGCTTATTTTTTATTATTATTTGTTTTAGTCTTTGAGTTACAGAATGAAGTTTGTCTAGATTTGCCATTTCAAATGACTTCCAAATATCTGGAATAAGAAATGACCTTCAAATATTATTAGCATCTTTCTTGGCTTCCAAATTTATGTTAGCATTCTAATGCATTGCTTATAGTCACAGTTCAACCTAGAGTTCTTTGTAATTTGCCACAATGGAGTTTTGGTAATTTTATGTATTATCTTACGTTGTTTAGTGTTTGATTGGCAGAAATAGATCAAGGGTGAGCAAGAGGAGAAGGTAGACAACGGGGCTCTGCTCTGTCAAGAAACTTAAGAAAACCTGCTTCATTAGATTCCCATGTGCAGGCTTGTTTTCAGATCCTTACCATGTAAGTCTCTCTCCCAGTATAGAGGTGAATTGGCCATTCTAATCTTCAATCCTTCACAGCTTCCAAATGTGGATCGTAGCCATTTTATTAGAGCCATGTCATCGTTGTCTCCAACATCGTCATCAGTTGCAACTCCATCCCATAAGCACATTGCCCAGCTTTTATTAGACCAAAAATCAGCAGCCCAAGCCCTCGAAACCTTCAAATGGGCCTCCAAACTCCCCAAGTTCACACATTCTCCCTCCACTTACCGAGCTCTCGTCCACAAGCTGTGCACCTTCCACCGCTTTGACACCGTTCACCAACTGCTTGATGAAATGCCCACATCAATTGGACAACCCCCGGATGAAGACATCTTTGTCACCATCATTCGAGGTCTTGGCCGTGCCCATATGGTAAAACAAGTGATCAAAGTGCTTGACTTGGTTTACAAGTATGACCAGAAACCTTCTTTGAAGGTATTCAATTCAATACTTGATGTTCTTGTGAAGGAAGATATAGATATAGCTAGGGAGTTTTACAGGAAGAAGATGATGGAAAGTGGCATTGAAGGCGATGGTTATACTTTTGGTATCTTGATGAAAGGACTTTGCCTGACGAACCGAATTGGTGATGGTTTTAAGCTTTTGCAAGCAATGAAGACTCGGGGAATCACCCCAAATACTGTGATATATAACACGTTGCTTCATGCACTTGGCAAGAACAAGAAAGTTGGTAGAGCGAGAAGCTTGATGAATGAGATGGAAGCACCGAATGACGTGACTTTTAATATTTTGATATCTGGGTATTGTGGAGAAGAGAATTTAGTGCAAGCTCTTGTTCTGCTAGAGAAGTGCTTTGGTTTGGGGTTTGTGCCTGATGTTGTCACTGTAACTAAGGTGTTGGAAATTCTTTGCAACAATGGCCGTGTAATGGAAGCTCTCAAGGTTATAGAGAGAGTGGAGAGCAAGGGAGGACTGGTGGATGTGGTAGCTTATAACACCTTGGTCAAGGGCTTTTGTAGATTAGGGAAAGCGAAACTCAGTCTTCGCATTGTGGAGGAAATGGAGAAAAAAGGATGCCTTCCAAATGTTGATACTTACAATGTCTTGATCTCATGTTTTTGCGAGTCTGGGATGTTGGATATGGCTCTGGATCTGTTTAAGGATATGGAAACAGATGGTATCTACTGGAATTTTGTTACGTACGATACATTAATTAGAGGTTTGTGTGGAGCAGGAAGGATGGAAAGAGGGTTTGAAATTTTGGAACTAATGAATGAGAGAAAACACGGTTCTGGGGGCCAAATCTCTCCTTATAATAGTGTGTTATATGGGTTGTATAAGGAAAATCGTTTAGGCGAAGCACTTGAGTTTTTAACCAGTTTGGGGAAATTATTTCCTAGAGCTGTTGATAGAAGCTTGAAAATCTTAGGTTTCTGTGAAGAGGGCGCCACATTGAATGCAAAGAAGGTTTATGATCAGATGATTACAGAAAATGGAGTTCCAAGTGCTATAATCTTCGACCGTCTAATCCATAGATTTTGCCAAGAAGGCTCTGTTCGCGAAGCATTTGACCTAATGAACGAGATGATTGGTCATGGTTACTTTCCTCTTGCATCGACATTTAATCCTCTGATCAATGCGTTTTGTGACAAAGGGAAAGTTGGTAGTGCACTGAAACTTGTGGAGGACATGGTTGAGAGAGGTTGCTCACCAGATGGTGGAAGTTATGGTCCGTTGGTAGCTGTTCTTTGCCGGATGGGGGATTTTCAGAAGGCTTTGAGACTGGTTTTGCAGATGGTAGAAAGGGGCATCGTTCCAGATTACTTTACATGGAACTCGTTGCTTCTTTGTTTAAGTGAAGAGACTGTATGGTTGAAGGGAAGAAGTGTAATCGATGTAAATAGCTTGCTACACTATTATTGACAATTAAATGCATGTCTAACCTGTATGGGCAAGATATAAGAAAATCAATGCATATTGACGATATTTATCAATGCAATACATAAATTTTGTGGGAATCCGTTGCAAATTTTGAACCTTGAATTTTTTGAAAGAAATTTTCTCTAATTTCGGCTAAATTTGAATGAGTTGACATATTCACTCTATTGCAAATTTTCATAATTTTCGTCGAATACGATATATCCATTGATATTTTCATAAATTTGTATGTCGATATTTTAAACATTGGCTAAGGTTGACTTTTTGGTTCATCATGTGTTGTTGTACTAATAGTGTTTGCAAAATTATTATACAATAAAATATTTTTTACGTGTATTGTATTACCTTAACAATTTTAAGCATTACCTTACAATTTTTTTGTATTTACTCTCGACAAGTCTCTACAAATCATAATTGTTGCATATGTTAACATAAACCTTTAACAGATGTTGACAAGAACACAAGTTCCGACTACCTTCGCATACCAACACAACCCACACATAACAAAAAAGAAGAGACAAATGAATAATGCAAGTTATGCAACCCAGAACAAATAACAAAGTAAATAAATAAAAGAAATATAAATGACAATAATAATAAATAATGCAACTAAAAATAAATAAATAAAGAAACAAAATAAATAAATGAAGAATGGATGACAATAATAAATAGATGGACTCCACCATGGCATCGCAATCATCGATTTGCCGATCTCTGCATCCAAAGGACTTAACCAGGATTCTGAGAATCGGTTAAATTGTATTCTAAGGTTAATATTTATTGAAACATTACCAAAGTTGCATCGAGTTTTTTACATTTCCAAAGTTGCGGTCTAGGTATACGACTCTTCGAAGAATTCTCCGGAATTGGATTATGTCCAGATTCACTTTGGGGAGATTTTAGATATCTTCACATCTTAATCATTCATCGTGTATTGTACAGTTAAAGATCATTTGATTTTTTTATTTAAAATTAAACACAAATAGTATCTGACGAAAATTGATCATACGATATACGATGAACGATTAGGATGTGAGGATTCTAAGGATCCCACAAAGTGGATCCTGAGAGGATTCATTTTTCGAATTCTCTGATAACTTATGTTTTTAAGCATATATTTTATAATATTAACATATAAATTGATGTTAAATTTTAAAATGGCAACTCATGTTTTTAACATAATATTTTACAAAAAAACTATTCTTACCCTTTAGTTGTATTATTACTTGTACTATTTTTTTAATAAAGATGAGATCACACCTACTGGTGGGTCCTATCTTTATTGGAAAGATGATACAAATAATAGTAACATGAAAATTAATATTAAACTATAAGGTGACTGAGAGTCTGTTAAGATATTTTTATATTATTATACTCACTTATGTTAGCGATTTGGATTAAGGTAATGTTAAGGAATCTAAATTTATAGATAAAATTTGCAAACTCAATGATGTGTTCCTAAAAATAATGAACATATTTATCAACGCTTAAGTTATAATCCCATCATCAACATTCATGTTACTTAATTAACAAATTTTATGTATAAATTTAGTTTCTCTAATTTTATGGAAAGATATATATGTCAACACGTAATATTATCTCTGTTGTATTGCATCACAATTTTGATGGCGTGAAAACAGTAGCAGTGTCCGACTTCGTCAACTCCATCATCCATTCCGTTATTCACGCCCTTTTCCAAAACAAAAACCACACACACTTTGTGATGCTCAGAGTCTCAGACTAACCTCCTCCTCCTCCTGCCTTCAAAATCCAATCCAATTCAATTCAATCGCACAAGTCACCACCCACACAGACAGAACCACCATCCTCTCTCCGTCTCTCCGATCCGATCCCATCCCATCCAATGGATCCCAACCCCTCCAAATTCCCCATGCTCTCCTACGTCATGTCCCGCCTCCCCTCCTTGGCTCCCAAGCCCTCAACACCCGCCGCCCCTCCCCACCTCTGCACTATCCGCATCGACCCCCATCCCTCCGACCAGCCCCCCATCCTCAACCAGATGCCCCACCTCTCCGACCCCAAAGTCCTCGCCGCCATGCAACGCGCCGTCGCCGACGTCTCCCAGACCCGTTCGGCCCTCAAGACCCTCGGCGACCGACCCGACCACGAGCTCGTCGACACCGCCAAGGTTAGGCTCTGTGAAATCGACTCCGATTTGGCCAAGAGACTAGAGGAGCTTGTCATCTCTCCCCGCCCTTCTGACTTTGACAGGCTCCAGTGGCGGGTTCGCCTGGCCGACAAAGAGGCTCAGTTCCGCGAGGCGGCGGAGAAGGAGAAGCAAGGCTACACTGCGATTCTGCAGCTCGATGAGTTGCACTCCGCCTACGACAAGCTTCTCAAGGACGCCGAGCAGAGGCTCGTCAAGATTTACGAGTCGGCCATGGCTGGGGTCGTGGAATTTGATGAGGAGAAGGAGGAGGGCGGTGATGAGGGTTTGATCAACGACCAAGTCCCTGAGGAGGTGGCTGGGATTCTTCAGGAGGCCTCCCGGACCACTCTGGATCGGGTCATCCTCTCGGGTCGGCAGTTACGGTTCTTGCCCGAGGCCTTTGGCTCCATTCACAGTTTGCTCCTGCTGGATCTTTCCAGCAATGAACTCAAGGTTTGATTTGGTTTGATTTGTTTTGATTGGGTTCGATTAAGTTCTTGAGATTATGATTAGATTAGGAATTAAAAGAACATTTTGGACAGGTTATTCCTGAGTCAATAGGTGGATTAGAGAAACTTGAAGAGCTAAATGTGTCTTCAAACCTTTTGGAGTCACTACCGGAATCAATTGGGGCGTTGCAAAAGTTGAAGGTCCTGAATGCCACTGGGAACAAGCTAAGTGCCCTTCCTGACTCCATCTGTCAATGCAGGTAAAGAAATTTATTGTCTTTAATCCATTCGAATTTTGAGTGACAAAGCAATGGAATGAATAGTAATTTGGTTTTGTGAAATGTGATTAGGTCGTTGGCGGAGTTGGATGTGAGCTACAACGGCCTCACATACCTGCCAACCAACATTGGTTTCGAGTTGGCCAATCTACAGAAGCTTTCTATCCAGTTGAACAAGATTCGGTCACTTCCTACCTCTGTTTGTGAGCTGAGGTCTTTACGCTGCTTGGATGCTCACTTCAATGAGCTCCGCGGCCTTCCTCTGGCCTTTGGTCGGTTGACCAATCTCGAAATACTTAATCTCGCCAGTAATTTTACCGATCTAACTGAGCTACCCGACACCTTTGGTGATTTAATCAACCTCAAGGAACTTGATATCAGCAACAATCAGATTCATGCTCTTCCAGATACCTTTGGCCGCCTTGACAATTTGACCAAACTGAACGTGGACGGGAACCCTCTAGTGGTTCCACCTTCGGACATAGTTCAACAAGGTGTGGTAGCTATCAAGGTTTTCATGGCCAAGAGATGGTTGGAGATACTGGTGGAAGAAGAGAGGAAAAGCATGCTTCAGGTTCAAGATCAAGAAGAAACAGGATGGTTGACACGCAGCACGTCCTGGTTGAAGGACTATGTTTCGGGTGTTTCTGAGTATCTGGGGTCTCCAAGAGCTCCTAGAGATCCTATTCTTGACCAGCAGCTATAATTTCATGCAAGGGTTCTTTGCTGCACGTAATTTGTGCTCACTTTTTCCTTTCTGTTTCTTCCTTTATTTCGTTTTACTTGTATTTCCTGTAACTCTTCTAGCTTGGAAAAGGTGGAAGCCTCAACAAATTTTCTTCTTTCAGTCCCCAACAGTTGTGAGATTTCGGATTCGCTTTATGCTCATGGCTAGAAATTTTTACTCCTTAAAACTTTAATTTTGTGGAGGAAGTGAAGCTGAATCAATGAGAGGAAGATAGGGGATCAAAATAAGTGTTTTCTTCTAGCAAGGAGTATGACATTTTTACTCCTTAAAACTTTAATTTTGTTTTCCTCTTATCTTAAAACACACAAAAACACAAAACATCAAAATATGTGAACTTTGGTCACTTGTTTTATCTAGTTCATTACGTGAGCGAATAACTAAAGGGAATTTACTTAGTACAATAGTTATTTGATATATTTTTTTTAAGTTTAAATCTCGTGAATGGTAAATTCAATATAAATTTACTCTCTGATTTTTTTAATACAAAATATGTTGCCATATCAAAACTTGCTGGTTTGTTGTCCCGTCCATTCTCCCCTCCATTCAAGAGTTAAAGCTTGGGGACACGTTAAATTAGGTGGATAAATGTTTAGGCTAAGAAATTGAAAAACCATGAAAGCACTGTATTTTTATATTCAATTTCAGCTAATAAAAGGAAACCATGAAAGCACTGTATTTTTATATTCAATTTCAGCTAATAAAAGGAAAGCACGAAAGCACTGTATGTATTATACACAAATCATATGCCTTTTTTTTTAACTACGACCAATACAATTAGACCTGTACATTTCCAAAAGGCGAAAGGAAAAATTAAGGCCTGTACATGTGCACGGGAAGAAGCAGCAAATATGTGAACGAGTGTGCTGTGAAAGTTTGTGCACGCTAATTTGCGACCGAAAAACACTAGCCGAAAAATTCATGTTAAATTTCCTATTTACTTTTGTAAAGGAAAAAGGAGCTAAAATTCATCCTTTACAACCAAAATTCAGATAGATATTAGAATCCTATGTTTTCATAATGATTTGAAATCACTTCCCATCAACTTCCGACAATGAATATAAATAATTATATGTTATATATATTTATAGCAGCAAAACTTCCCACTTGCAGACTCAAGCGGGGAGGCATCTCCCCGGTGGTCTGAGAGTTGCCATCAAAATCCAAAAAATGGCACATAGTGCTACAAGAACCGGAAGGAAGAAGAATCCCCTCTTTATGCCTGCTCTCATAGTTTCAGAACCATTACCTGCTGTTGTACTTGCCGTATTAATTCTCAACCTACTGAAGCTAGACATCCGTTCGAAAGCACGATTCACCAAAGCACTCTCTGAAGCAGATGCAGGAGTGGTAGGTATAGACTCCACAAATGCCCAAAGAGCAGAAGAGAACTGACTTGTAGCACCTGCAGCCTCATTGCCGTTTTGATTTTGAGTTGCTCGGGAAGGAAAATTTGAAGATTCATTTACCACACCTAGACAATACCAAATAGGAACTGCCTATATTAGCGACTACTTATAAGAGTTTATAGGGCCATTCCAATTTACAACACAGGGAACGGCAACATATAATATAACTAGAAGTTAGTCATGCCAACCACTGCAATCAATAATACATTAGCAGAAACCAGCTTAAGAAGAGTTCTTGAAGCTGAAAACCTGCACCACTTAATTTACAATTGCAAAAGCATCGACTATTCATCTTCAATGTTATATATACCTGAGGTTGAATACGAGAGAGATCCCTGATTCGGTTCTGCTCCTTCAGTGTTTGTCCACAGCTGATTGTTCATCTGAGTTAATTCTGGATTCAGGATATGGTTAACCTGGTTTTCAGCTGCTGGATTGGGTTGTAAGTGGTATTCAAATTGGTCTACAATATTATTCCCCTGTGAATTCATGTACTGATGATGAGAAACATTTCCTTCATCAAAAGGCCCCAAGTCATGAAGAAACATGGCTGCATCATGATACAATCGAATTCACTTAATCCATCTAGCTCTCCAAACTGCAAGTCATCCACGGGATTCAGAGTGTTTGGTACAGTAGGTTCAGGACCAAGGAGATCATCCATCTCCAAGAAATCCTCTTCATGCAGAGCAGGAGGGCCGTGCTCATAAATGTCAGGAACAGCTGTAGTGACTTCAGATGCCTCATGCAATTGCATTTGGGAGGTAGCTGACTGTGTGAAGTCAAAGTTGGCCTTCACATTGCATTGCTGCACATTTGGATTGAACTCTTTGATAAGTTCTGGACTGAAAACTTCCCTGGAGTACAGATCAACCAGACCACTTTGGGTATCTTCTTCGCTAACAACCTACAAAATGAAATTGCATAATGTTAATTACGTGTTCTTGATGACAGAGATTTAGTGCATGCAAGACTAAAATCATGCAAAGAAAATTAAAAGTACAAACTTTCTTTATTTATGCAATCACCCCTTATCAGGTAACATCTAAACCAGATCCATCAGCCTCTAAGATACAAAAATCCTATCTTAGCCATATTTTTCAAATAGTCTGCAATAGCCATAAACAACTACCCCTGCAAGAAAATAAGGGAGTAGAGTAGTAGGGAGAGATTACCAACCTGGTGTGCTGTGTAACCGTACCCATTCATTTGTGGCAGCACAGCCTCATCAGCCATCTGTTTCATGAATTCCTCGATGTCATCTGGTGCATAATGGACTTCGCCATTGCCTTTCACATTATCAATAGAAACAACATCTACAGCTTCCTTCACTGAGATTTGGCAATCAGCAGAGGTCTTGATTACCGGGGATTCATCATCAACCCAGTCTTCTTCCCTAAATGGCGCCCCATATTGCTCGCCATTTTTGGGACCAGGGTCCACTTTTTTTGTAAACCTTGTAGAGAGCATAATATTGCTAAAACAAAGGAAGAACAAAAAGGAAAGTTTTAGTTTACAGAATAAAAAAATTCAAGACCATATTGAAAAGGATGTTATTCCAATTTAATACCTGTACATTCTGGCATCTTTTGAGCTCTTCCTCATCCATGGTATACTCGTGCATCACCCAGTCAGTGCGCTCCCCACTAGGTGCACGGCCTTTGTAATAAACTAAGGTCTTCTTCAATCCAACAGACCGTGAATAACATACAATATTACGATCCTTTCCCGTAGCTTTCCAATACCCGTGTCTGGTTGCCCTGCTTGATCTTCCTCCATTAGGGTATTTCCGATCTCTAGGACTGAAAAAGAACCATTGCCTGTCTCCAGTTTTCAACAAAGATAGTTCTGCATATCATATCACATTAACTAGTTAGTAACCAAATTCAACAGCAAAAAATGTGAGCTCAAACAGCAAAAATGTGAGCTCAAAGCAGCTTTCTAATACATAAAGCTAAGATTAGCATAGATTAATTAAATTAATAAAAATCAAAATTATTCAAAACCATTTCCATCCCAAACATAATCGGATTAACAGACACATCTACTTGGAATTTTAAGGTTGGGATTTGTAAAATTAATGAATATCCAAATCATTCAAAACCATTTCCATCCTAAACGCAATTGGATTTAATACACACATGGAATTTTAAAGTTGGAATTTATAAACCAATGGCTAAGAACAAATATTAAATTAGTTTGCCACTACGCACTACAGACATTATAGTAGTCATTTAATTAGCTCATAGAATATATCACCATAGCATCCTGCAAAATTCGAGTAGCGTGTGTCGAAACAAATCTGAAAAGGAATGAAAACCCTGTTAACCAAACCCATCAACAATAACCAAAGTATTAAGTCTAACCAATCGTAGCAAACCCAGCCAACCCAACAAAGCGACATCCAGTCAACAAATCAAACAATACTCCGAAACCCATCAGCCAATATGAATATACAGCAAGTAGAAGCAAAGCAATCTAAAAAAACCCAAATCCGCAATGATCCAAACAATTAAAATTAGGGCTTAAGAATTCATGCACCTATTGGACTTTGATTAAAAAGGTTGACTCAATGATCAAGGCTCTATCACCTGTTCTACAGCAATCAATTATCCACACAGAAGCTTGACTTACACAAAGCCGATTAAAAAAAAACAAAATAAATACCCAAATTAATAGCCAAACAATCAAAACCCAAAAACCGCATATCAAAAATCATACAAAAAATCAAGGCTTTCACAGAAAAACCTCTAAAACCCTTACCGGGAAGTTCCTCAGGGTCCCACTTGTAGACGTCGGTCTCGGCGATGACGTCAATCTTGAGCCTCTTCTTACAGATCTTCCGCTTTAGATAGTAGAGGACAAGCTCCTCGTCGGTGGGATGGAACCGAAACCCCGGCGCGGCAAAGTGGCCATCGCAGAAAAGCGCGGCTGGATCGTCCTCCGTCACCATCGCTTCCTCTCCAACAAAATCAAAACCCTCAAACAAACAAAAATTGAAAAACTTGAAGCACAAATCAATCGATCAGAAGTAAGAGAGAGGGATGTGGATAGAAAGAGAGAAGAAAATTCCTACATAATCACAGCAGGACTCTCCTAGGGCAGAGGAGAGAGAGAGAGAGAGGATGGGGTGGGTGGTCAATGTGAATTGTCAGAGGAGGAACAGTGCGGATGAGAAGAGTTTAGTAGCGAGGCGATTCAGAAGTTTCCTTGAACTGCACTTGCCTTGCAGCTTGGCAATTTTTTATATTATTTTATTAATTAATTTTAAATGATTTTTTTCCCTTTTTGTGCGTGATAATTGATATGAAGCGTGGCCAGGGGGTAACCTGGGTCTGGGCGCCTAACTTCAGGGTGTGGTGCGGTTAGATGATTCGCTACGAGTCTCACGGGAGTCTCCTCACTCCCGCACACGACGTAGACCAAGACTACTACAGTGCCACCGCCGTAGATCAGATCTGGGAAGATGTAATGGAGTCTCAGGATGACATTCGAAACAGTCCGTTGACTAAACAACTGCAAGACTCGCCGACATAAACGCACGAGTAAAAGATCTGGAAGGAGCCCATGGGCTCAAGATCTGGGAGGAGTGTCTCTCACTTCTATAGATGGCAATTTAACCCGTTAAATTAGATCTCCGTAATTAATTGATCCGAATGGTTCGGTTTCAGGCATAAAATTTCAGGGTATTTTACGGTTATAGGTAACCGTCGGGTAAATTTTTTGGTTTCGGGTTTGGTTATGGTTATTAGGGTATCCGTCTTAAACCCATACCCGAAACCGAACCATTTTATCTATGAATAAAAAATATATAAATATTTATTATATGAAAAGGGGTTGTTAATCATCATGCATTGAAGCCTCACGGATATGGAGGTAAATGAGTGTGAGAAGACGACTCTGCATGATGTGAACATGGAGGAAAAGATGAGGATGAAGCAACAGTTGGCTCAGCAAGAGGCCTATGATGAGGACGATGACATGCCTGGTGGTGCTCAAAGGGTGCAGTGCGCCTAACAGTGATGACTAATGCTAGCTTTGAAAACTCGTACAAGTTAATAATATAAATAAATATATAAATATCATAAGAGGAAAACCGTTTCCCGATCACAAATCTGTCACCCAACAGGTTCGGTTATAGGGAAAACCCATTCGAGGATTCTACAAGTTCTGGTTTAGGTATGGGGATGGCACATCCGAATCCTATATGCCTCATTACCATCCTACTCACTTCAAAGAGGCATTGGCTCAGGCAACAGAAACCGTTGATTGGAGTCTTGAAATGTCACCCTGGCATCCTGTCCCCTAAACACGCCCCTTGCAAGGTTCAAGATCTCCGCCCCTTGGAGGTAGAAACCTTCCCAAGAGTAAACTGCATATACGGCAAACAAAAATATTTGAAAAACACCAAGAAGGAAAAAAAGGCGACATGCAAGAAGCCTAGAACGGTGGCTTTAATCAACAAATCGATGCCCATAGGACATCTTGATGTTCTTCGATCGAGACCTGGAAGACGTCCACTCACCCTTTGATGACGTCGTCATCGTCAAGGTGCAAATCTCCAATGCCATGGTCAACTATATCTTGGTGGACAATGGATCAGGAGTGAATGTCCTATTCAAGGATGCTGCAGAAAGGATGGCAATCCTTGATAACAGCAACAAAGGAAGGACCACCCTCTACACCTTCAAACGGGCACCGTTCAATCCCTAAGAATGGTAAACTTAGTAGTCTAGGTAAAGCCCTACAACCACTTAGTGACCTTTCATGTTGTGGACTGCCCCCATTATCAGCCGAAACTAGTGACACAAGATAAAAGTTATTCCGTGTAGCTACCATTAACTACTCTGCTACCCCACTCCAAACAGTGTAAAGGAAATAAATGGAGACCAATCAACAGCGAGCTGCTGCACTGTCGAAAGCATGAACATAATCCAGAAAGGAGAACGGAGTTCCAATAGTCCTATAGATGAATCAGCATAACAATCACAGTCAATGGATCAACAAATGAGCTATAAAGATTTTGACCTGGATCTCAACCCCGAGGATGACAGCAATTCAGCTTAAGGCTTTCTATAGGCAAATGGTTGGTAATATGTTATACTTGACAACTACTAGACTTGATATAATGTTTGCAGTTAACCTATTCTCAAGATTCGTGCACAATCCTACAAAGGAACACTTTGGCATGGCTACAACGGTGCTAAGGTAAATTTAATGTAGAACTATCTACAACAAAAGCTGAGTATGTGAGTGCATCAGAAGTCACAACTCAAGCCATTTAGCTTAGGTTTGTCTTGGAAGATTTTGGTGAATTCCAAGCTGATGCGACACTATTGTATTGTGATGATACAAAGAATCCAATGTTTGATCAAACGTTTAAGCATATAAACAGAAGATATCATTTCATTAGGGAAGCTTTGCAAAATAATGTGATTAATTTGGTGTACTACAAATCTGAGGAGCATACATTTTCACCAAAGTTTTGCCTAAGGATAGGTTCAACTATCTCAAATGAATGCTTAGAGTCAAGTCAACAACAACCTTAGAAGGGAGTGTTACAGGATAAAGATGTTGCTAGTTTGAATCAAGGTGGCTGGATTGCATCATAATGCAAATCAACATTGCTAGGTTTTTAGCTTAACTGTTTAAGTGTTAATTCAAGTGAAATGGTCGGCTAGGATTAAACATCTAAATGATGGAGAGAGTGTCATCTGTCCTAGTTTGTTATTTTTTTAAGTAGCACCGTAAGCTACATGTGAGCTAGCTTACATGGCTCAAGCATGTGAGCTCTAACTGTTATATTGGTCATTTTCATTCCTTCACACCTTATGTAGGTGTGTGTGATTGAATGTCGATGTAATCGAATCCAATGCAACAAAGTGAGAGCAACATACGCTCCATTTTTATTCGAGCACCATTGTTTTTCTTGCTGTTGTTCATATTTCTAGCAAACTCATACAGAAACCATATCAAATATGGAATTCAATAAAAACTCTAATAACTCTAATGGGGTGTAGTTGCCAATACCTGCCAGCAAACAGTAAGAACTTTGCCAAGGAAATTTCAATAAATAAATAAAAGGGATCCTAATCATGAAAGCTAGTCAGTCAATCCAAAAAAATGATTGATCCAGAAGGCCTCGAACAATCATTAACCTGAGAAGGTGAAAGTAAGGAGAGCAAAAGAACAGAAGAACCCAATTATAAGACCAAAGTATCTCCTGTCGTTACCAACAAACCATGTCATACCTTGAAGCAGGATTTGCCTAGCTTTGTGAATACCATTCTAAGCAGCTGAAGATGTATATTTTGTTTTGACAACTAATAAATGATCATGTCGTATATATTTAGAAGAAACAATTTGAACCCATCAGTTATCAAGCTTGGTCAATACATTTCATCCTAGCTTAACTAAAGTTGCAAGATTAAAACAATGCTCCATCTTATACCTAAGCACCCATGGACTTAAGCATGCTAACATATCCGCCATGATAGCGGGCCTTTGCCATTGTTGCGCCAAAAGAAATTTTGAGCTTATCTATCAAGGGCATTAGTAATTTTTGTTAGACACGAGAAACAAGACATGACATGATTGGGAAGACTAAATACATTAGACTAGATATGAGTAAGATTCTCATCCCTAGAAAGCAAATTACTTTCGGAAAACTTTTACTTCACTTTAATAAGAAATTCTTTTGCATTAATAGAATCTTTCGTAAAAATAATATTATGAACACTTAGATATCTTCCTATAAAGGCTCTATGTTGAATACCTAGGCAATCGGTAATTTAAGACTTACAGGAAGTAGAGGGATTAGGGGAAAAATAAACGGTAATCTTATGAAAATTAACTTGTTGACCTGAAGCAATTGCTAAAAGATTTAGAACTTCAAAAATATTCCTAGCAACGGTACTAGAGGCTTTAGCAAAGATTAAATAATCATCAGCAAACATAAGACAAGAAACTCAGTACCCCTAGAAGAGGATAAAATCCGCACATGAGATTTAGGCCTGGTTTGGTATTGCGGTGCTTTGAAAAAGGTTGCTTTTGCTGTACTGTGAGAATAAGCAGCTGTGAAATAAAGCAGCAGAGTGTTTGGTAAACTTTTTTGTAAAAGTGCTTTTGAAAAAAAAAAAAAGCAGTATTATAGTGTTTGGTAAACTTTTATGTAAAACAGCTGTGAAAAAAGCCGGTTTTTCAAAGCTGGGTTTTGCAGCTTCTTGTTTTTGGCTTTTTTCACCCAAAACTGTGAAAAAAAGCTAAAGCTGAATGTTTACCAAACACAAAAACAGCTCCCAGCTTTTTTTTATACCAGCTTTTTTGAGAATCACCTCAGTACCAAACTAGGCCTAGAGTTGGGTGTGTTATCCACACACCCCAAATTACTTCTTACACATCCCTTGTTAATTTCAGTTCGATGATCTTCTTTAATTTATCTGATCCGACGGTCGAAAATTAAAAAGGTATGTGAAAAATAAAATGGAGTGTGTGAATATCACACCCTTTAGAGTTTTGGGTGAGACAATTCAGGTGACGATTTAGAGGCTCCATGTAAAAAATAAAGGAAATATTTTTGCTTATCATCCTATCTATTATCGTTAATGAGTAAAAAGTTTGACACCTGGATAGACACAATAGTAGTAACTATTAAAAGATAAATGCAGCAGGGAAAGAGAGGGAATTATTGATTGGATTTTCTCGTCTCCCAAACAAGATCACAGAACCCTGTTTTCTACAATTTTAAATCCTTTTGGAATCTTACAACTGTCAACAGCAAAAGAGGGTTTCTGCATTGCTGTGCGCCAAACAGGGCGTTAGATCTGAATGAGAACCCACATTCTCTGTAAGTCGGTCCAAATACCTATTTCTTCGTCTGCTCTCAATTTGCATTTCAATGTCTTTGTGGTTTTCTAAGTATTTGGCTTAGTAAAAATCTTTCTCTGCTCTGTTTGGTTTCCGAGAAATTTCCAAAAGGAAAATTTGAAAAGTAGTAACTTGTGATTGATTGATTACTGTCAGGAAACAGTCAGAAACTCAGGCATTTGCTTATTCCTTGATTTTTAAATTTCAGGG